TAGGCATTGTTTCTCGCATTGTCTAACCCCTCCATCATGGTTTCCCCAATTAAGGTGCCCCCATTTCCCCTTTTATATACAAGGACTGACTCCCAACATCCTCTACTCTGCTCTTGGATACCTTGGGGACACTGGGCTCCCCTGCACTGTAGGGGAAGGGGAGCAGAGCACAGCAGGGTGTGTCAAGAGGGATTGGACTGGTCCCAAAGAGTATGTCAGAGTCCTGGCAGGGCCTCCAGACCTATCTTCCTGCTCTGGCTGAGCTAGGGACCTGCAGGAGCAGCCAATGCCAACACCAGGCTGTGGTGAGGAGTATGTGGAACAACATCTATGAAATGTTTAGAACAGTGCCCACTGGCATTTAGTGAAGAGAAGAGTCCACAGTTACCTGCTATCCACAGGAGAGGATACCCACATGAGGACTAGGCACCAAGTCTGCAGATAGGACCAGATCTATTCGGACTGCTTTTCCCGATACATGCATTCTTATGACATAACTGGATTTCTAAATCAGGCACAGTAAGACATTAACAACAACACTGCAGACCTTGGCAATCTTAGGGTAGGATTTTCCTTTCCTTTTTAAGTCAAGAACTTTCACCTCTGTTAAGAGGAAGCGATTCTCGGCTTCTCTTTAGCATATCAAAACTGTCAGCACTGCCTCTCTTGTGCTTTGAGGCTGTGGCTGAGTAAAATACTGGTTGCTGGAATACAGGCACCGTGCTACAGTGGACCTCATGGTGACTACGGGACTGATGGGCAGGTAGCACATAGCGCGTGGAAACTCTGGACAAAGAGATTCACATTCTGAGCAGGACAGGACAGGACGATGCCTGTTTCATGCTGTCAGAGCATTGCATTTTAAAACTTGTGATTATTTGTGGAATTTTCCATTTAGAGTTTTTGACTTCAGTGGAGCGGCGTGGAAACTCTGGACAAAGAGATTCACATTCTGAGCAGGACAGGACAGGATGATGCCTGTTTCATGCTGTCAGAGCATTGGATTTTAAAACTTGTGATTATTTGTGGAATTTTCCATTTACAGTTTTTGACTTCAGTGGAGCATGGCTAACTGAAACTGTGGAAAATGAAACTGGATTGGGGGTGGGGTGGAGGGGGCTCCCGATGACCCTTGTCATTCCCACGAGTCCGTGACCGAGCACAGTTCGTTAAGCTCTAAACAAGATTTTCCCTCCACAGTGTCATTAACCATGTGCCCGGAAGCTGCCTGGTCTGTTCTCTAACAAGATTTCTGGGTCTGTTTCAGGCGGAGGCCAGACTTGCAGCAAAGCGTGCTGCCCGTGCCGAGGCTCGAGAGATCCGGATGAAGGAGTTGGAACGGCAGCAGAAGGAGGTAGCGGACCTGGGGTTCCTGGTTGGCTCTTTTACCCGGGGTCTCCTTAGGGCTGTGCAGATGCAGAGCACTGGTGCCTCTGACGCACCTGTCCTCTTCTCATTGCTCCTGGTTGGAATGTGTGTGGTGGCTGCTCTGGGTTAGGCGGGGAGTGCACATAACACGGGTGACAGGCATGCCTGCCCCCGCTCTGGATCATGCATGGCTCACTTGCCTTTAGTGATTTCCCCAGGTCAGCTTTCTGGTTGAGATGAGCCGAGGAGATCTGGGTTTAGGTTTCTAACTGCTGATGAGGGTCTGGATCCTCTGAATTGGAACCAGAAAGAGCAGATTGACTTTTTTAAAATTTTAAAAACTTAACTGGCCCACTTGTTTCATTTAAAAATATTTTCCCTGAGACTTTTACATGTCAGATAGAGATACGGAGAGCAGATGACTGTCCGGGACCAAGTAGCCATGAGAGAAAGCCACTCTGGTCACGTGTGTTCTCACCTGTCCATGCTGCCGGCTACTGATTTTTAAGACCTTGATTAGGGGTTCCTTGCTGACAGTGTACCAGCTCTTTAACAACGTTAGGATGCTGGCTTTTCAGGGACCTTGCCCATAGTGGCACATGAGCCCTTTGGGGATCACCCACTCCAACCCTGTGCCTCAAGGCTCACCTGTTTAGAGGGTTTGGATGTGGTGTACTGGTCAGAGCTGGTCTTCATACAGACTCCATTGTGGCTCGTGTGGCCCAGCCAGTGTTCACCATGTGTGACTGCAGATGGAAGCTTGGGTTCCCTTTCTACTACAGATCCTTCTACTTCCCATAAGGCTCGAGCCCATCATGTGCCCTGTGGGGACAGCAGGGCCACCGGCTTGTTGTTCCCTGCCTAGGGAGTTTGCCACCCTAGGGGAAAATATGCCAACAGAGGAGGGGTGTGGCCAGATTTGATTTGGGGAAGGAAACTTCTAGGCGGTATGTTGTAAAGTGCCAGGAGCCCCGGCCCAGAGGGTCGGGCAGAGTTGTATCAGAGCCCCATGGGAGGGAAAATGGGCTAAAGCAGTCCCCACAGAGGAGGGACCCCAGGGATGGAGCGTCTTAGGCAAGCCAGGTGTCCTGTGGTGATTAGGAGGTGGCCTGAAGATGGGCATGCATTGGCAGGCCTCTCTTGTGTGCTGAGCTGTGAACATCCCCTTTCACACAGTATTACAACGTGACTCCCTCCTCATCTTCCGTTGGGGTTGCAAATGCACGTACAAGTTATAAGTGCTGGTCTTTGATGCTTTACTCTTAGGATTTGTCGTTTTAATTGTTTTGCAGTTTTTTTCTCTTCTCAGAAAAGCACAGGATTAGTGTCTCCCCAGCACCTGTGACCCTTTCAATCAGATTTACCATTTTAAAATAGGAAAGTAGTACTCCTGACTTTCTGTGTTATTTATTTGGGCTTTCCGGTTGAATTATGACTTACAAGACTTTGGGTTAACTGAAGGGCTCTAACCCCATCTCTTGGCCAAGGGTGAGGGGGACCAGACAGGGACCAGACCTGGTGAACACCTGTGAGGATGCTCTCACCAGCACATGTTTGCAGTACTGAGGATTGAACGCACGCTCTTACTTGCCCTAGGTAAGCACTCTGCCATTCAGCCACAGTCCCAGGCCTGGCAGTCCACATTCAAGTCCTAGAAATACTATAAGAAGGGTTTCCCAAAACATTCAGCCACTCTACTCACTCTGTGACAGTTAGTTGGACTTCATGTCCCACTGTCCTTTTAGTGTCTGCCCCAGGGCTGTCAGTTTCGGCTCTGGTAGAGCCAAACAAGGATTGTGGGCAAAAGGACGTGGTGAGGCTGTGCACAGCTCCACGTTGCATTTGTGCTCATGGTGAGTGTGGTGCCGTGACACAAATGTCACATCTCCTCAAGGATCGAGGTGAAAGGGATTGACAGAGCATGTGCTTGCACATGCACCTTACATGTTTGCATAAACTGTGTACACTCTTGATTGACAAATGCGTGATGATGTGAGCAGCCTCTTTGCTGAGAATTCTTGGCCCAAGTTGGCTGTGGGTGTGGTGGCACCCACAGCAAAGAGGAAATGGAGTGAGTCCTTCCAATTTTGAGCAGAGGGACACTTGGCCTTGAAAACCAGATGTCTCCTTAGTGCTGGACTCGAGGCATAGCATCAAACAGAGTGGATATTGGTCAGCAGGAGCTGTACAGAATGCGAAGCACAGAACGTAGGGGCAGCGACAGCTGCCTGTCTAGCTGTCCTTGATCTGGCCTAGTCCCTGAGCACACATGTTTGCATGCACACATGCATTTAGACAAGTGTCTGTGTACTTGTGTGCAGAGAGGAGTGAGTGCAGTTAAGGGCCTGAGCTTGCAGCCTGATACCCACAGCCCCTCCAAACTGCCGAGCCTTACCCTCGGACTCGGCTATTATTAGAACCAGCAAGCTTCTGCCATCTGATAGCCTGGGGCACTGGCATTTCAAATTGTTGATTAAGGGGAACTGAATATGCTTGGAAGACCAGTGTGTAGCCAGTAGGGTTGGTACTTTGTGTAAAAATTGAGAAACATGATCCCTGTTTTCTCCTGCACAAGCTGCTGCTGAGCAGGACAAGTACCCTGGAGGAGGGTGTGGGGGCCGCTGCACCTCCACGGTTCCTTAGGACCCCCTGGAGGACCTGGGGAGGCCTCAAGCTGGTGGAGAGAGCTGAGGTTCTTCAAGAGAGCTTGCAGAATGTGCAGAGAGGAAAGGTGGTAAAGATGGTGGTGTGAGGGTGCAGATCTGCTGCCAACCCTCAGGACAGTGCGCTTTACCCAGACCCCGGGCGCTCTCGATGTCCCAGCACAGGCACTTGTCAGCCATGCAGCTGGGAGAGCCAACTGGAGCTTGCTTGACCTGTGCTTTGGGTTGATTGAATGATCTGAATTCCTTTTCAATGGACTTATCAGGGGAGAATAATATGCAGATATTCTTTGGGGGACTCCTAGGGACCTTCACAATAAACCATCAGGGTGTCTCTTAATGCTACTGACAAACATTTTGGTTGGAGATGCTGTGTTTATTATAGTTGAATATGTTCACCTGTACTTTCCCACATGAATAAAAGCGCCAGTTTTTGGTAGCCCTAAATTGGGGCGGTGCCCAGATCAAGGCCGTACATGGTTTGTTGGAGATAACAAAGTAAGTATCTCTGCCATCCTTAGCAGTTACTGTGAAATTAGGAGAAACGAGCACAGCAGCGAGAAGCACCTCATTTTAAGTATTTCAGCACAGTCTAATGATCGTGGTGTTTTGCTAGAATGTTCCCAGCATTCTTTCTTGTACTTATCTGCTGGGACCCAGACACCAAACCTGCTCTCATCATCTTTGTGAATCTGACCACTGGATTTCCCAATTAAGCTTCTATACTTTTGGTTAAAGTTTTGTTCATATGAAATAAATTTTCTTTCTTTAAAATGATTTTTACTTTATCCTTTGATGTTTCGTGCATGTGTGTGCTGTGTTTCGGTGAGAACGTGTGTGCTGTGTCTCGGTGAGAACGTGTGTGCTGTGTCTCGGTGAGAACGTGTGTGCTGTGTCTCGGTGAGAACGTGTGTGCTGTGTCTCGGTGAGAACGTGTGTGCTGTGTCTCGGTGAGAACGTGTGTGCTGTGTCTCGGTGAGAACGTGTGTGCTGTGTCTCGGTGAGAACGTGTGTGCTGTGTCTCGGTGAGAACGTGTGTGCTGTGTCTCGGTGAGAACGTGTGTGCTGTGTCTCGGTGAGAACGTGTGTGCTGTGTCTCGGTGAGAACGTGTGTGCTGTGTCTCGGTGAGAACGTGTGTGCTGTGTCTCGGTGAGAACGTGTGTGCTGTGTTTCAATGAGAATTACTCCCCGTTGCCCTTTCTAACCCCTTCGCCTCCCTCTGGGCTCCTTCCCAGTTTGTCTCCTTCCTACTTTCAAGACCAAAGAGAAATGTTCACTTCTTGTTTCCTGTTGAGGTAATGGGCTGTGCTCTCTGTGTTAGGTAACATGGGGTTCTGCAGAAGTTGCTGTGCTACACCCGTGTTTCTTTTCGGCCGTCACCTTAAACAGCACAGTCTGAGGGGAGACATGGGGTTGCAGACATTCTATATGTGTTTAATTGGTTTCCTTTGTTTTCTCCAGTACAGCTCTCATTCATATTTCTGGTTCTTACAGAACCTTTCCTTCCAGTGTTCCTGCCTGTTTAATTGTATTTTCTGTTTCTTTCCTTCCCTTTGTCCTTTCCTGTAGATCTATCAAGTTCAAAAGGTAGGCTCTTGGTTCTTCGCTTTCTAATATGCATGCGCTGGTTTTTCCCTTGCTGAGGCCTGAGCACCTTGCAAAAGAGCGCCTTGAGCTGAAGAAGGCTTGTGATGTCCACTGTGGTGTCTGTGCATCTGCCAGAGTAAGAATTCCAGTCCCCTCACCCTCCACACGAGGAGGCAGCCACACCTTCCTTTGCTGAACACATCCCTCACCCATTCGCCTAAAGAAATTAGAAAATTCTAACTTGAAACCATATCTCAGCATCAAAGGAATGCTTTGAAATTGCATGTTAAAAGAGAAAGATTATCTTTCCAGATATCTTTATTAGAAAACCTTAAAAATATCAGTGTAAATTACCACATATTATTGGACTGGGTGCGGTAGCACACCCCTGTAATTCTAGCACTCAGGAGACTGAGGCAGAAGGATTACTTCAAGTTCGAGACTATCTCCAGATTATATAGCTATTTGGAAACCAGCCTGGGCTATATAGTGAGATGCTGTATCAA